GGAGGGGGCGTGGAGAGTCCGCGCTAGATGCCTTGTGATGTTAGCTATTGCGTCCCAGGCTGAGCCCGCCGGCCTCCAAACTTATGATGGGTGCAGAGAACAGCGCTGCCGACGTGGGAACGGCAACATGCACCTCATGGGGGACGCTTGGGAGGCATAAAGGATGTTGTGGGTGGCATGGATGCTGGTGTAGGTGGCATGGAGGATGATATGGGAATGTCATGAGGTACCGGTGGTGTGAAGACCGGTGTTATTGGAGTGGAGGATGGCATGCGTTGAATGAAAGACATTTCGTGTAAAGCTGGGGATAATGTCTATGTACAGTGAAAGACGGCATTGGTGTGTCAAAGACCAGTGTTTGATACGAGCTCATCAGAAACCAAGCAAACAGCGTCCGCGCCTATCGGCACACTGACCCGGGCCCAGCCCGGGGTCAGTCAGGTCATTTGCCTGGCGTGAGGGCAAACGACCGGTTCGTTCTGTTCACGGAAATGGAAGCAAGATCAGCTATACCGTGCTGATTATATCTGGCTATTCGTTTGGTTTATACGCAAATTCAAACAACAAAGCTTCTGCGTGACCACGAACTGGTTCGGCTCGACGTCGGCGGTTGGAGTTGGTTCTGTCTCAGTGGCTGGGATTTGGTTCTGTTTCGGTGGTTGACATTCGGTTCTGTCTCGGTGGTTGAGATTTGGTTCTGTCTCGGTGGTTGAGATTTGGTTCTGTCTCGGTGGTTAAGATTTGGTTCTGTCTCGGTGGTTGAGATTTGGTTCTGTCTCGGTGGTTGAGATTTGGTTCTGGCTTGGTGGTTGCTAACTGCGGTTCGTGTCAGTCTGCCTCTGGAGTTGGAGGCTGCTCCGGGCCGATCAGGAGCCACCCAGTGAGGCTGCGGATGGTTGATTCCATTAGTCGCGTTGCTGCTGGGTGTGACTGGAGCAGCCCGATCGGGTCGAAACTCTCGGAACGGGCCGGTCGAAGAGCTGGGCGTCGTCAGTGTGGGGCAGGAGGCGGCCCTGGGCGAGGAGATGGGAGGAGCGCTGGTCCGACGATGACCCCATGGGTTACTCCGTGGATCACCGTGAGAATAGTGGAGGCGTCGCCGCTCACCGTCTGCCTACGGTAGTAAACGTAACTCCGGAGCCATGATGGATGCATGTTGTACCACCCCAGATTATCCACACTTGACTACAATCTAGCGTCGTATCAACGCAACGAAATCTGCCTAGATCTTTTTCATATCCAGCCGACAGTTTTGAGCCTAGCGTCGTCAGTGGAACGACACAGCCGATACAACACATACTGGAAAGGCAACCTCCGTCCTAAGAGCCGTCCACTCACAGCTCCCAGAATAGAAGCTCTCACGGATATTGTTTCCTGTGCCCAACCCACTCGCTACTTATGAAGCTGTTCAGTTTAGTTCAATGCAGTTCAGGTCATTTGCAACAGCCCACGAGGTGTGTTTTGTTGTTTCACTTCAATGATAAGGAGCATAGTGGACCTAGGCTGAGCATCACGTATGCCAGCCAAGTGTTTGAGTTATACAGTGGAGCTGAAACGTCGAGGTATAAACCAACAACATCTCGTGCAGATAATAAGATACACCATGACCAAAGGCTGTGTTATACCTGTCCCCTACTCACTATTTCTTCCCGCTATGCATTTGTTATAAGTTATACCAGACTGCTTCCCGCTCGTTTGGATTTTCCAGCACTTTGGTGGTAAACTATGCAACAGTTCAGAGCGTCTTACCGCCTACCTTACCCTTACGTTGATGATAGCGAAAGAGATGTGAATATGGCTGACTATAACTTAAAACTCTGGCATTCGCATTGAGTGTGTTGTATTTCCTCAGGTACCTTTTTAATTCTTCCAAAACATCTTGCGCCCCGGGCACAGCGAACAGCACCACGGGCACCGCGAACAGCACCACGGGCACCGCGACCTCCGCATATATGCGGAGGTCGCGGTGTCCGGAATGTTGTGGACCCGGGAGGTGATTGGTTCGCGGCGTGTTGGCCGCTTGTCAGGTGACCTGTGGTCTGGGCTCCCGTGCGCCGGGAGAGGGAAGGAAAGACATCGACCCGGTGCAGGAGTGCAGGTGTCAGTTGTAGCTGGTAATACAGACCAAAAAGTTTGCTGCGCTTATCGAGCTTACAAGTGGGGGCAGCGGTGGGATCGGCTTCGCTTATTGGAGGGCGTGTTGTTTCGAGTGCACAAAGCGCGGCCCCGTGGTTCCGAGCAGTTGCAGGTGGTCGCTCCCAAGTCCCTGTTCCCTGTGGTTCTGGATCGATGCATTCAGGCCCCCTGGGGTCACTTCAGCTCTGAGAAGCTAATCGCGCAGGCACGGCTTCGTTTCTGGTGGCCCCCGATGACCACTAACACACACAGATTTTGTACAGAATGTGACAGATGCAGGTCGCGTTGGTCACCCGTACCCTAGCCCGTACACCGAAAGGAGAGCTGTACGCGACGAACCGTGGGAGACCGCATCAACGGATATTTTGGCCAGCCTGCCCCTCACGGCGCATGGAAACAAGCACCTGGTGGCGCGCCGCGATCATTTCACTCTGCGGGTGTAGATATTCCCTGTTCCAGATGTTTGCTACTACAGTGGTGCACGTTCTCACACATGAGTTTGCAGGGGTATGTCGGCATATGTGGATCCGCAAAACCAGCTCGAGTAATTTTCATCCGAAGGGAAATAGCCGGGGTGAGCGGGCGAATACTACATATTTGCCCGTCCCTGTAAGCCAGCCATCATTGTGTCCGTTCACGAACATTCGGACTAGAGCCCACACTTCGAGGACAGTGGCAAAACCTGCGGGCTGGCCACAACAGACCAAAGCCGCGTCACTGTCTAGATCAGGCGTCGGGTCAAATGCCGTCCAGCAATGTGGATAGGGAGAAGAGTGGGGCGGCTCTCTTTCCGGGAAGGAGAGAGTCCAGCATGAGCCGTCGCGTCGTGGACGGCGGGGATCAGTGGACCCCGACAGTCATCTGTCGGTATTGACCGTCCGCGTATCCCAGCCTTGTGTGCCAATTCCGATGGCAGTGAGCAGGTTGTTATGTGCAGATCGAGCCAAGTGCCGCACGCCATCTCTGCCGATCGGCCCCCTGGTGAGGAGGCTCCCTCCGCGGCTCCCGTCTCGGCTCCGCGGGAGCCGGACGTCCACATCGGCGCGGCAGTCGCTGGCGCTGGCGCGGAGCGGGTCGGCTCCAGTGAACCTGCTGCTATACCTGACGCTGGCAGTAGTCTTGGACGATTCAGGTGGACGTAGGCCATCTTCTTCGAATGGTTCAGGGAAGCGACCTATTTCCGATGTTCTACTCGGATTAGGCATCTCCCTGACTGGTTCACAGCATATCTGATGCTGTCGCTGCTCTTATCATGGCCAGCCGTTGTAGCATAATTGCAGATAAAGAAGCTACTTTATAGGGCGATCCACGTCGGTGTTGGCTATGTTTGGGCTGAGTTGGCAGTTGTTTGCGTATGTTTGCCGTGGGCCTTGTGATGCCGCGATGATCTTACCGCCCTGTTTGTCGGGTCTGTTTGCGGGCTGTGCAGGACTGTCATTTTGGTTTGTCTGTGGGCTGCTCGGCTCGCCTGATCGAGCCGTTCAGTCCTGGTCCGTCCCATGTATTTCCAGGGTGTTGGCTGGTATCGGAACCGGCGAACGCGGGCGCGCCAGCCGGACGGGTTGGGTCGCGCTCTCACATGTCGGGGCGCCAAGAGGAGCTTGGCTGGCGAGCGTTGGGTGCCGATGTGTGCTCGTCGGGGGGGGGGGGGGGGGGGCGTTCGGTAACTGTATTCGTGATGCGCGTGGAAGCGCTGTCTGCCTGGGAGGCGTCTGTGCGGGATTGGTCGCACGTAAATGAAATGCTGGGTGACTTGTCAAATAGTTAATGATTTACTGCTTGGGCAGCTCAGTGTGTAAACTCACATGTTAAATGTTTCTAATTGAAAGGGGCTTTGTCGTTATCGTAGGGAGAAAGTGTAACGGTGTTACATGTGCTGGCCGTCCCGTCTCCGGCCGCGCGGCGGTCGGAGGTCGCGTTGCCCGAGGCGCTATGACCGGGGCGGTGATTGGTTCGCGGCGTGTCGGTCGGTTGGCAGATGACCTGTGGCCCAGGCCCCCGTGCGCTGGGAGAGTTAAGGACAGACGTCGGCCCGGTGCAGGCGTGGAGGTGTGAATTGTGGCTGCTAATTCAGACCTAAGCTTGCTTCGTTTATCGAGCTTACATATACACATCAAAATGTTCCCAAAATATGTAACCAACCCAGCCGTTACTGATTACATATGCATGTCCCTGGATTTACCCAAAACCGTGAAGTCCTCTATGTCAGACCCACAACGGCCAGGCTGTCCGCTGCACACCCGGCCGCGGAGGCGTCCACCGACGCTCCCAGACCGACGGCGCCAGAACGCCAGCGATCACTCGCCATTTGGCCGTCTGCAGACCACACAATCCAGTCTGCCGGCCAGTCCTGCACGTCGCTAGCTGCCGCTCTGGGCGCACTCCCTGATTTGGTAGCCCACTATTACCGTCCGGGCCCTGGCATCGGGGATGCAAATTGGCTCCATCCGGGTCTGAAGGACCAGCCAGGCGTACTGCGCGAGTCCGCGGTCAAAAGCTACCATTGCCAAAAACGGGAGAGAGAGCGAGAGACAGAGGGTGAGAGAGAGAGAGAGAGAGAGAGAGAGAGAGAGAGAGAGAGAGAGAGAGAGAGAGAGAGAGAGAGAGAGAGAGAGAGAGAGAGAGAGAGAGAGAGAGAGAGAGAGAGAGAGAGAGAGAGAGAGAGAGAGAGAGAGAGGAGAGAGAGAGAGAGAGAGAGAGAGAGAGAGAGAGGGAGGGAGAGAGAGAGTTATTGGGGATCATTAAGGTTCATTGGGGGTCATTGATCATTGGTTCGTGCAATGCAATGTAATCATTATCTACTACTATAACATAGCAAGTATTTGCTAACGCATATCCTGCGACAAACGCGGAACGGAACTCACAGTTCATGTCGATCATGACGGAGCTGGTAACGGGCGCCGTCAGGTTGGTGTTGGTGGCCAGGCAGGTCAGCATGCGGTGCAGGTCACTTCTACCCAGGGACGGCACCGTGTACTGGCTGACCGTGTCCTGACCCTCCGGCTGGGACCGCGCCGGCAGTACGCCGTCACTCGAGCGCCATATCACGCTGGGCCGCGGGGAGCCTGGGAACAGAGCACGGCGGCATCAGCACAGATACATCTGTATCACACTTGGTAAGAAGGGCCTGGGAACAAAAGAAGGGGACATCAAAAGAGGGGCATCCATATCACGCTGGGTTAGGGGAGCCTGGGAGAAAATACAGAGAACTGCATGTCGCACTGTGTCGGAGAGAGGCTGAAAGCGAGCACAGAAACATCCATATGACGTTGGGTAAGAAGGGTCCTCTGTTTCCAATATCACTTTGCTGTGTTGAAAGAAGGCTGGGAACAAGGCTAAGCCGAATTAAGTTAGGCAAAGGGAGAACATAAACTACAGATTAACTCAAATGTAGAAACGGGAAATGATTTTTATTCTTGGACTTCGCACCACACTGCAAGCTTGATGCAACATATTTTGATGGCTGTCTTGACATCGTCAATTACATACAGCAAATGTACGTTTTACTCGGCGTTATTGCACATCTGAAGTTGGTAAGGTTTGCTCTCGGAAATGGTTCACAGAGCTGTGTCAAAGACGCCCGCTCTGCCAGAGTGGGGCAGGGGTGGGTCCAAATTTACCCGAGGGAAGGGCAGTGGGGATCCTCACCTCACCACCAGGGGGAGAAGGAGAGAATCTTACTTTTAGAATGGGAAATCTGACTAGAGAAGACCGTGGACAGACGCAGGAATTCTCACTGACGCAAAATGGTGTATTAACAATGCAGGGGCAAAATTAGTGGTGTAGGGACCACAGTTTGGCAGATCTGGCCCCTAGCTGAAGGGAAGGGTGGGCACTGGTGCACCTACCTGACATAGTGCTCTTAAATTGCCTCGTTGTGGAGTCTTTTATTGAAAGTTGTCAAACTTCCTTTTTATTGTCAGAGGGTCAGCGACGGCTTTGACTTTCGGGGTCATGTTCCTGCCCCTGGTCCGTAAATCGTCCCTGGCCGTCTTGGGGCTCCTTTCTGACGAAGGAAACCTTGCATTGTGTGTCTCTAGCCGACAAAGCAAGGTAATGTCATGTCGGATGCAACAAATGCAAGAGATATTTGGTAAAAATTGCGCGGCCCGGCCTTGTCCCTGCTTGAGCAAGGCAACGCCAGGGACCAGAGCAGCACGGAGCTGATTGCTCATTACTAGTGGTCACTGACAGACATATAATCGTCCCAGGGGTCCCCGATCAGAGAAAGAGCCACTGTGACTGACAGCTGAGGGTCCGGGCGTGCGGGTCAGACCCCCTTAAAAAGAATGCTTCACATTTGAGGATGATGAAGCAAGCATCAGGTATGATGAAATAAGCTTACTTATTACGCGCCAGGGTCGGGGTCAAATTGAACCCCCTGAAGGCTTTTCCAGAATGGTTTCGAAACGGCGGGGCGTAGCCACGCCCAATTTTGCGTAATACGGGTATAATATTTATTATTAATAATATTTGCATAATATGTTGCATTATAACTTTGCATAATCAAATAGTGGATCGTTTGGTTTCAACAATTTATATGTACCTTGTCAGGCCTGCCGACCGACGGCAGGTCAAAGTCAGGCCATGGATTTAGCGAAGTCAGTTTCAAGGGAATTGTTCAATCTCATGCAACAACGGAGCGTTAAACGAAACCATACATCTTCGAGACGCTTTCGTAGGCAACACAACAATAGAATGAGTAAATTATGTTGACTTAGGGTCAGGTATGAAGGTAAGGCCAAGGTCAAAACCAGCCTGCTTTTTCACTCTAGGGCTTACTGTATCGGATAGTTTCTGGTGCTCATTTAGGAGTGATTAATAACAGGAGCCGCATTATACGTTTTCTTTTAACTTTCAAAGGTCAGGATAGGTCACAGACCTAAAAAGACCTGAGTCAAAATTTTGTTTAGGAATACACTGCCTACCGTAATCTTTGTCGGCTATTCAAATGCAAAACTCAACGTTGTTTTGCATCATTTTGGTCAACACGACCTTCAAAAGGTCAAACAGAGTCACTGACACTAAATGAGTATGTGGCCCTTTTCTTAGAAGATGTGTCTGGTTGTGAAGACATTTTGGAGACAACCTGAAGTTTGACCATGTTCGACCTCATTTGACTCAAAGGTTATGATCTAGGAGCCCTCGAAATTTGAACTAAGTGAGTTCACGTACAGGCCAACACACTCTGTGAATCTGGTGTATCTAGCTCCCTTAGTTCCTGAGATCTCAGCGGAGGGGTGGTCAAATCGAGCTCCCACCCGAACGAATGGTATGCAGTCGGCCACCCTATCGCATGTTATAACTATTGGTATCCTTGGAAAGGGAGTGCTACACTCTTATGGGGTTTGGAACAGCAATAGCTATTTTGAAGGTTATTGGGTGTAGTTTGCAGCCTTGTCGTTCTGAAGGCCTAAAACCCTCTAGTTTCTAAGCTAAACGTCTGCAAAGATGTGCAGACTACTTCGTACGGATCATTTAAGGGTCACCCAGTCATCAATGACGCAATCATGACGTCATTCAAATTTTGTTATTCTATTGGCTAGGTAGTAATTAAGGCCAAGAAAAATAATATTGTCAAGTCACACAGCCGCTATAACTGCTATCAATTAGCTCTTAATCAATGCTGACGCAATCAGGTGGTGGGCATATTTACTAAATAGAGTAATTGTGTTGTCTTGAGCAGTCTTTTCCACTTAAAAGTATACCAATAGTAATAAGTGAGCTTATTTTATCATACATGAGGTTTTCTTCAATACCTTCAAATGTGGAGCATTCCTTTTAATGGGAAAGCCTGCTTTAGACAACAACACTTCTGTATTTAGTAAATATGCTCCCGAATACGTCGTTGCTTGCTTGTGCCATAGACCGTTTGTATGACGTTGGGGTGCTGCCAAACTAGCCGTGCGAAACCGCCACCCTAGCACTCACTTGTATCACTGCAACTCGCCGAAACATGGCAATGGCGACGCTGGAAGAGTTCGCTGAGCCGAATATCGTGTGTGGTCATGTTTTGGCCTTTCTCGTGGTGTTATTGCTTATTATCCGCGAGTTTAAGATGTTTAGTTGCATGCTTTAGGTGAGGTATGGAGCTATTCTTACGTGATTCTATTACAAGTCCTATCTTCGTAATAACTAACACCCACGTCAAACTTCTGATATTATGTGGCACAAAAGCATGATTCATAATTAGCCATTTGACTCTCCTATCCTTTTTCTTGCTTAATCCTACACATTCGCGCTACACATCCTACACATCGGCGCCCCGGGGCGGGCTGTATTCCCCAGCCACGAGTGGGCCAAGAGGCCCCAGGAATGAGGGGCCCCGACCGGGCGCCAGGCGCACACCCCGAGGGGTCCCTGCGCAGGCTAAAGCTCAACGGTTGATCCCCCAGGCGCATGCAATCTTGCCCCCCCCCCCCCCCCCCTGCCGCCGTTATCCATTCTTCTTCATCATATAACCCTGAATTGATCGCTTCTGGCCGAAAGAGTTCTAATCCAAACAACCAATCGTGATTTAGACTGAAACAGCCTGCTTTATATTGTTTGAAAGCCATTCAACGTCCATTACATCTGGAAATCATGCTCACGAACGCCCGATATGAACGGCGCGACACTCATATTGCTGGTGGTGCCACGAAAGCTTCATAATTGAATTCGAGTGCCATGGCTCGGCTGATGTAGTCCTGACCGGCGCGGGGCTCCTGTTCGAAGCCAAGGATCCCGTCGTCAGTATCAGGTGTTTCTTGCTCAGCATCGGATCTTCCTGACCGATTGAAAGGCCCCAAAATACTTTAGGGGCCTCTCGAGCGTCTGAGAAGCCTGTGAGGTATTTAGGGTCCTTGCCCTGTTTGGCATATTGATCCCCGGCCATCACGGGCCCATGATCGTAATCTGGAATCCCTTTTTAGTTTCAGAGGGCCTGGTCGGCAGGGGCTTCCTCACTGCCTCAGAAGTTCCGAATGGGACCTTCAGCCGACCCGCATTTTGGGGGTCCGGCCGGCTCATCAACCGGCCTTGCGCGCTGAGGCCAACAAAGGGGGAGGGGGGCATAGCTCCCATAGCTCCACCCTTGTATTCGCCGCTGGGGTCGACTGAGCCGCTGCATGATAGCCAGGTGGGTCGGTGTGAGATCTGTTCGCGCCGTCCGGTCCCACCTGCCGAGCTGACATCTGTTCGCGCCGTCCGGTCCCACCCGCCGAGCTGGGATCTGTTCGCGCCGTCCGGTCCCGCCCGCCGAGCTGGGATCTGTTCGCGCCGTCCGGTCCCGCCCGCCGAGCTGGGATCTGTTCGCGCCGTCTGGTCCCACCCGCCGAGCTGGGATCTGTTCGCGCCGTCCGGTCCCACCCGCCGAGCTGGGATCTGTTCGCGCCGTCCGGTCCCACCCGCCGAGCTGGGATCTGTTCGCGCCGTCTGGTCCCACCCGCCGAGCTGGGATCTGTTCGCGCCGTCCGGTCCCACCCGCCGAGCTGGGATCTGTTCGCGCCGTCTGGTCCCACCCGCCGAGCTGGGATCTGTTCGCGCCGTCCGGTCCCGCCCGCCGAGCTGGGATCTGTTCGCGCCGTCCGGTCCCGCCCGCCCAGCAGCGCCGGTCGCGCCGGGATCGGGCCGCCAGACGGCATGCGAGGCCGATGCACATGGCACGTGCCAGCGGGCCACGTCAGGAAATGGGTTTGCGGATAGATATGGCGCCGCGTCAGTGCCGCATATAGAGCTGCGGAGATGTGCGACCCGGCAGGACCATTGTACAGAGACGTGCGCACGTCGGATGCGGCACGGAACCCAGCTCCTACCCATCACACGTTGGAACAGAGGCGTTGTGGAAGCAGAGTGCGCTGACCTCATCCAAATGGGCTTGCGAAACAGCGGAGCAAGGCACCATCGCGTTCAGTGTGAAGTGTTTGTAGAAACGATAGAAAATTATATCACAGGACTCAAGATACGTGCTGGTTCTATGGTTTAGGTTTCGGCTTATGATGCAGATCATGATGCAGATGCAGACTCGTGTAAGGGATTTTACCCGTGAAAAAATGCCTAGGTTCTGAGCTGTGTTAGAGGGCCACTCACTATGCCAGAAATCCTTCTTTCGATACACGTTTATAGGGAAAGTTTCCCAGCGAAACATGCGTCTGACATGTAATCTCGTCGTTGCCAACTCGCGCTCACCTGGAAGGCCTGTGGCTGAGCCTCATCTCGTCTCTTTGAGAACACATGTCTGCTCCGACCATACATCTCAGGGCACGTGTATCTCCAGCGAAGCATCGTACCCCGTCGTTTCAAACACGCGAGCTTGTTCCGCTCCGCTCGTTTCGAGGACTCATGTCTGGCAGGTAGTCAAGCAGCCGCAGTCATTAATCTTTCATGATAAAGGTCGCCCGTACGTCGCCCGTACGAGACCACGGCGAACAATTAGCAAGACGGATTGCAATTCGATTGACTTTGCAGAGAGGCAGGATCTGACGGTCTCCGTTCGACCGTCATGAAGTCGCTCACGAACATTTCACGCGCTGGCGAGGCTGAGCTCGATTCAATTACCGCCGACACGACTCAGCGAGACCAGGTCGGCTTCTTAAGCAACTGGATGGCGCGCCTCGCTGGCGACTAATTAAGCTGACAGAGTCGGTGGGTCCGCGACACGAGCCGCCGCCGCCGCACTCCATGCGGACACACACGACGGGCGGGAGGTCACCAGCATCGCTGTCAGCGTTAGTTGGCTTCGGAAACGAACGGTTGGACGTGGCGTCACCACGTTGCGAATACTCCCAGCCCAGTCATTAGCCCTTCACGGGCCAACGGCCAAACACCGCCGCTGACGAGGACGAGGCGCGTCCTTAAAAGAGCAGATTGACCCTTATAAGGCAGGAGCTGGCGTTGCACGGGCCGGGGCATGTCGCGCGTTACGTCTCAGTGGACCGCATGAACACGGACCGGGCATGTCGCACGTCACGTCTCAGTGGGCCGCATGAACACGGGCCGGGGCATGTCACAGGTCACGACTCAATCGGCCGCATGAACACGGACAGCGGCATGCCGCACGTCACAACTCAGTGGGCCGCATGAACACGGACAGCGGCATGTCGCACGTCACAACTCAGTGGGCCGCATGAACACAGACCGGGACATGTCACAGGTCACGACTCAGTCGGCCGCATGAACACAAACCGGGGCACATCACACGTCACGTTTCAGTGGGCCGCATGACTAGCCTGCGCGCAGGCTATGGCGGCTCCACTATAAGTGATGGCCCGTCGCAGCTTAAGCGGGGGGTGGGCTGCCGCTTCATCGGTCACCGCACAGTTTCAGCGTGACCAATGGTCGCGTGCCGGCACAAATGTACGACGACCGGCCCACGCCGGCCGGCCGACTGAGTGAGTGCACGTCCAGTTAGCTCTGCACGTGATGGATCGGCGCGCTGTCCGGACGCGTGTGCACGTGCCGGGTGCCAGCAGCCTTTCCTTCCGTTGGTTTGTGAGTTATGCAAATACCAATACTATAATGGTTCCCAGTTTGCATCTTCAGTTGAAAGAAACTGAAATATCGCCATCTGTTCCTGCTTAAATTTCGGTTGTCCAATTTTTGAAACACTTCGCGAATATTTCTACCATTAAGACGACTTTTGTGGTGGTAAGGTGAACAATGCGATAGGAGCCGCTAGAGTTTTCAACCATCATCACGTCTATACCAGCACTTGGACTAGTAGGGCCTAGTACCTATTGGATCCCATAACATCGTGCGGATGAAGGCGTTGCAAAGTCCGTCTGATAAGATTGTCTGGTAGGCTTTAATGCCTTAGCGTTCGCGCTAATACACCTGTCAACTAGTTTCAAACATTGGCTGGCTTTAATCTGCCCAGGTCTTGCTTTCTTCGTCGGCAATGTCGACAAAATTGTATTGCTTTGCGACTCTGAATGTGACTCAAGTATTGAAAAAACGCAAACATTTTGGAACGGTACTAGTTTAAGGAAAGTGGTAAGTCTAGAGGAATGTATAATGACTTATATGAATGGCATGCTTGTACCTCAGGTGTGTGGTCTGTGTCTGAGTGTCTATGCAGCCTGTGTGTAGTCTGTGACTGCATGCCTGTGTGGTCTGTGGGCAGCCTGCGCCTGAATGCGTGTACAGTCTGTGGATAGTCTGTGTATGAATAGCCTGTTCATGGATGCCTGTAGAGCCTTTGTGTAGGCTGTGCTTGGATGCCTACAAAGCTTGTCTGTAGCTTGTGCCCGAATGCCTGTGTAGCTTGTGTGTAGCCTGTGCCTGAATGCTTGTGTAGCTTGTATGTAACGTGTGCCTGAATGTTTGTGTAGCTTGTATGTAGCCTGTGCCTGGATGCCGCCGCGCTGCATATAGCTTCTACCCGCCCACCAACACACTTGTCATTTTCTACTCACCGCCCGTTGACCCACCGGTTTCAGACATTCGGGTAAAGTTTTGAAATTAGTTTGCCTTAAGCCGATGAGGTACTCAATACACCCAATCTAATTTCGTGATTTTTTATAACATATGCACCTATCATAAGCAGGTGTGTCATCCACGTGTGTGTTACTCAGCGGGTGTGTCATTAATCATTGGTTTCAAACTGGTGTTCAGCGCAACAAAATTTTGTCGCCTAAAGAATGTATCAAGATTGAAAATGTGATTAGGTTTCTGGGTTGATGAACAATGCTTTCTTTCAAGCTTGCGAAATGAGTTCTTTTCCACAAATGGGAGAAAAATTGTTTTCGAAAAACCTACACACAGTGTCGTTGCTATGGCGCATAACGTGGACAGTGAATAGCGCAATGCACTTCAAACAGAGATGTAACATAGATTGACAAATCTGTAGCACTGCGAAGCAACATTAAGAACACATTAATTTTAATTCTTTCTTTATATAACATTAAAGTACAAAATATAATACATGCTTTGTCTGAATGACACAAAATACGAAACCCAAATATTCAATAATAATAGTAAACAAGAATACAAGGTGAATAACGGCATTTCCGTCAGACAAGGTCAGATTTTCCCAACCTGCCGGGTGGATACCGAAAGTAACCACTCACCACCACAGCTATGCAAGCGCAAGGGCATTATCCGCTCACTATTCTTCCATTCAGTTAATGAAAGTTACGCTCCATTTATCATATGGTAAAACTAATCTGCGGATGAAACCGTTTGATTTGGGTGCCGGTGGTTTAACTACCCCATGCACTGGCCCCTACAGGACAGTGATTGCCAATCTTGCAACTATAAAGCGTTTGCAGCAACAATAACTTCGAGACAATATCACTGAATGTTCCCGAAGGGGCACGAAGTTGTGATCAGCGGTAAACACCACATATTCTTTCGAAAAACGTGATGTGACGTGATGCGTGATGACCGGGTCGGGTCGGACGGGGCAAACTGGGTCAGGTCAGACCGAGCCGGGTCGGACCGGACCGGGCCAGGCCGGGCTGAGTCGGGCAGGCCGGATCGGGTCAGACAGAACAGGCCAGGTCAGGTCAGACAGAGCGTGTCGACGCGCGTCAGGCAGGGCGGACTGGGTCGGGTCGGACAGGGCAGGCCAGGTCGGGTCAGACAGGGCAGACTGAGTCAGATCAGACCGAGCCGGGTCGGACCGGACTGGGCCAGGCTGGGCTTGGTCAGACAAGGCAGGCCGGGTCGGGTCGGACAGGCCAGGTCGGGTCAGACAGGGCCAAGACGGGCAGGGCCGGGTCGGGATAAAAGGTGAAGATGGTATGGTTGAATATGGTATAAAGTTGAAGATGGCATCTTGTTTTCAAGCAGGACACGATCAGCCCGTGCACTCCTTTGTAAGCAACATGGGCTGCGTTTTTAAGTATTATGCTCGGGGGATACGTAACCTGCATACGGCTATGCCGTAAACCCAAACTGTGGCTATAAGACATCACCTCCATTGTCGAGGTGCCGAAATAACTAACGCCCCTCCCGTTGGGGAGTGCATGGCAACCCGAAAACTGGCAAGCTATAACGAGCAACATTTACTAGCACGTAACTGTGACTGGTACAATTTGTGATTTGTGCTCTTACCACGATGACGTTTGCCATCGTGAATCATCACGGAAAGGCCATGCTCTAGTTTGTTTCGTACTGTGTATGTGCTGCCGGGAAGGCTGTTGCAAGTTGTTGGCGGACGTATCTGGATCTGTGTCGGCTGCTGTGACGGCTGCTAATCTCCTCGAGCTCGACAGGTGCTCGCCCTCCCTGAACGGTTGCTAACCTCCTCGAGCTCGACAGGTGCTCGCCCTCCCTGAACGGTTGCTAACCTCCTCGAGCTCGACAGGTGCTCGCCCTCCCTGAACGGTTGCTAACCTCCTCGAGCTCGACAGCTTCTCGCCCTCCCTGAACGGTTGCTAACCTCCTCGAGCTCGACAGGTGAGCTGCAGCTTCTCGCCCTCCCTGAACGGTTGCTAGCCTCCTCGAGCTCGACAGGTGAGCTGCAGCTTCTCGCCCTCCCTGAACGGTTGCTAGCCTCCTCGAGCTCGACAGGTGAGCTGCAGCTTCTCGCCCTCCCTGAAGGGTTGCTAACCTCCTCGAGCTCGACAGGTGCTCGCCCTCCCTGAACGGTTGCTAACCTCCTCGAGCTCGACAGGTGAGTTGCAGCTTCTCGCCCTCCCTGAACGCGCCGACTACGGTGTCGAGCACGGCGCCGTGCGAGTCCAGAATCACTGCGCTCTCCGGAGGAACTGGAACAGAACAGGGCATCATGTCAGCGAGTGGCGTTGTGACGCTCTGATTGATGCGAGTACCGAATGATGTGCCCCCTTTCGGTGACAATTACCACGTCATTGTGCGCCCAGACACTTAGGGTATGGCCCTGAGGATAGCAAAGCTACCCCACGGTTTGTTTTTTTAAAGTCCGTAAACCGTGGGTGCTGCAAGAACAGCTATAAAACTGCAATGACGATCACCCACTTGATTATCATTGGTAAAAAACGGGGGCACACAGGATTTCGCAATAAAGGCATAGCTTAAGGGCATAGCTTAAAGTTATCACTGACAGCCGGTTTTAGCGCAGCACATGCGTGCATAGTTTTTTGCGTGTCCTAAAACACCGCCGCAATTTAATTTTCCGATTTTGAGGTGTCCACCCGAAATTTGTAATCGTCGATGTTATATATATATATATATATATATATATATATATATATATATATATATATATATATATATGTATATTGATATGCATAATACCAAACTTTTAAAAAGCTTTTCATCGATACTTTCTAAGCACACATCTGTTATTAGCGATTTTTGGCTGGATATGTTGCGCAGAGTTTCAAATAGGTTTGTAAAGACGCATAATTTGATAAAATTGCAGCCAGGTGGCTACTCCGCTGCGTGTAGTTTCTCGCGTGTCCTAAAACACCGCCGCAACTTAATTTTCTAATTTTAACGTGTTCACCTGGAATTTGTAATCGTCGATGTTATATATATATATATATATATATATATATATATATACGTATATAGGGATATATACGCATATATATATATATGTACAGATATATATGTATGTATATATATATATATATTAAGATGCATAATACTAAACTTTTAACAAGATTTTCACTGATATTTTCTCAGCACACATCTCCTATTAGCTATTTTTGGCTGGACATGTTTCGCAGACAGTTGTTAACAGGTTTGTAAAGACGCATAATTTGATAAAATTACAGTTAGGTGGTAATAAGTAAGATCATGCTTTTATTGACACGTGTGATGCCAGGTTCCTTACTAACCAAACTTTTCAAAACTTTGTAAAAGCTTTCGCTGGCATCTCTGACGCAGACACGACAAATCACACCCCTATATCCTTGTAGCGTCCCTGCTCATAAGTGTGTAGAACTTATAGAGCTTACTTGCAGTAAATACAGAGCTTTCTTACAGTACTTACAGAACTTACAGGGCTTGCATACCATAACATGATACAAGATGGATGATCTTTGACTGGAATAATCTTCAAAACCTGCTTTGCTCCACGCACCACCCATGTAAACAATAATGGCGCGGTTAGCATCGAAAGCCCTCGACCGAGTCACATTGATGATTGCCAAGCCTAATATTTTCCTAAAATTTGTGTAAACTAAAGGCATGAGCTGAAGAAATGTCTTTAACGTATTTGGGTTACATAATACACTTAATTGTAACTGAATATACGTGATCAACCCATTCCACGTTAGTAGAATTGCATGAAAACAATGTTTTCGTTGTCAGAGTATTAGCATATACTATGCTTCACAGAATTTTTTTTAACTTTTGAAAACGGCTAGTGGTTTATTCGCTTTTACATCAACAAAACGCCTTGAACTTACATACGGTGGCATAACAATACGTCCCAGAATATCGCCGTGACGCTTTGTCACCAAATAGTACAGGTCTCTCACATATCCCGTGTTACGCCCTTAACTTTGAATACATAATGCAGTATGAAAGGTGAATTTCTTCGACAATGACAATACAATATGAATCCCGGACGTGTGTCGCAGCTTCCTACGACTGCAATTAATTTTTTTTGGGAAAACACTCCTTCCAGGGTACGATATAATTTGCCCGCCGTTGTCATGTAGACACATTCGCACACACATGCACACACTTATTGCTCGCTGGTATGCCATCAGGCAACCGTTTAACGTGCCACTATCCGCTCCGCAATTGACTAGACCCGACGGAGAAGACCTGGCTCCGGAGAACGGGAAAGGTCATCGGAGCGGGACCAATTCCGCCATTGTCGGTCTCCTGCCTCTGTGACTCGGCGCCCCAATCTAGATGATCCTTCAAGACCGGCCGTTACTAACCAGGCTGCCGAACGACTTGGCGGCCATACCGGACTTAGGTGCCACTGACAAAAATCACGTAAATACTGCCGCGGTCCTTGCTAAATTACAGCCTCGTGTCTGCCAAAGTTTAAAGTAGAAAGTATACTACTATTCCATTCCTTACTTCTGTAGGAGCCATGGAAAAACGTGCCTCGTGTTTCATCTTACCGGCAAAAAATCTTTACTGTCTGCTGCCTGTTGCTGTCTCTAACAAATGGTGCGTAATTGTCATGCTATGTATCACTTCATTCAAATTGTCATACCAGTAATCTTTTTACGGAGACCAAACCTAGGCAGAGGAATTCTTAATATTTCTATACCAACTTAGATAAGGTTAAATGGATGAGCAGCACTTTCATGCATGGAGCAGAAAATAAAAATAACTTGGCACATTTCAAACTCCGTCCCCTATCATATGTGCGGTAATAAATTGTAATCTGCTTAATATATATATATATATATATATATATATATATATATATATATATATGCTTATTTGCCTCAAGTTCCGTGTTCGGCACTGCAATGAAAATGTGTTCAACATAACGAATTGCTTCATGCTTGTGTCCAACGAGGAAGCGCATGGTAGGTACCTCGATAACGAAGCGTTTATTTCAACGAGAAAACAGCTCAATTTTCCAGCTAAGCTCTTCGGTCGAGGCTTGCGTGAAAAGCGCACAGCTTGGTTTACGAAACGGATATCAATGCTCGTGACCAAATCAAGATATAGCGTGAAACGGGTCACGCTTGTGTTGAACGTGGTGAGACACGGACGATGCGTCTTTTCTGCACTCTGTCGCGGAACAGCACACCAAAATTGAAAAGGCTTTCTCTTGGAGACAATGGAAGTGAATTATTCCGTCACAGCCACTGAGAGTCGGCGACATGATGTCAACCAGTCGCGTGCCTTTTGCCCTTTGTTTGACCTTTGACGTGAGTCACGGACGGCTGCTTTCTGTTAGCCTGGCGTCGTCACCACTAGCCCCCAGCGCCGATGCGGAAGTTATTGGAGGCGCGGCATGCAGCATGGAATCTAGAGGTCTGTGCGGCTTGAATTTTTGGGGAGCCGGTGTAATTCGTTGTAGCATACATCATTTCCAATATTATACGCACCCTACTTCTTTCACATTTCAGACCAATTCATCAGAAAGTCGCAATTAAATGATCGGTAAGGAGAACTTTAATTTCACATGTTAAGTACAATTCACCGATGATACTGTTTAAAAAGCTCCTAGCTTGTGTAATTCTGTTAAATATACGTATTGAAATGGATGACTCGTGAAAATGCAAACCTGTAACACAGCATAAGTTCATTTACTTCACATACCTCCGCGAGTCCATTAGAAGGTAAGTACTATGACATGCATGTCTCAATAACCCCATTTCCGTCGGGGGACATATTCTACCTTAGCTTCTCTGTGGTTTTGTTTTGCTTGCCGTTCGTCAACACTTCACCGCAATGACACAAAATGTTGTGACTTTTCACGGCATTTATAAACACCTGTTCTGTCAATTTTTAAAAGAAAAGCCAGCGGAAGAGAGTCTCTAGACCTTTGCGTTTTGGAGGAAATCTGCCGTGCGAAGAGGGTATCAAGCACGAGGTTGTATGGCACATTTGAGGTGTATGGTGTGATAAAATACAGATCGAAATTCATTCATAACGCTGCATTAACCATGAACACTGGGCAAAGCACAGCTTTCACACAGGGGCACAGTCACATGCTGAAAACGAGGAGCTCACTGATGCCGTACTTCCCGGTTTCCTGTTGAGTGCACGCTACCCACATACACCATAATCGTTCTCATAACGTGCGTGCTGCACCAAACCTTTAAAACAATGTCAATCATAGACGCCTCCAGACAATCCTGTTTCGAAGCTCGTCTGAGTTGCGTGAGACCAAAGGAAGGCAAGGGTGTGTGTGATACAACTTAAGTCGTTGTTAGGGATAAAATGCAAGTGGGAAATCTTGCTACGTGACCATTTGCTTGCATCAAGCCAGACATGCATCATGCATACTTAGAAGGAGTACACTTAGTTACTCAAAGACTGGAGAGCTATGTGGCTTGTTGGCGAAGCAAGCGACCCTAATGGGCCTCCTTCACGTTGTTTACTTAGATCTGCCCATTGTCAGTGCATTCACGATCACAAATTAGCTGGCAAAGGAAATGTATAACGTTTATGTCATTGAAAATAAACCCAAACGGGGTAAATGTCGCGTCTTTAAAGTCACCATACTTGGCCCGGCTTAGAGCCGCCTAAGATGTCCTTTTCGGTGTTCAGTTCTGGGTACAACATACACCCGTGATTTGCAAGCCAAACTGTATTTGTATCATGAAAGCTGGTTATTGATCATGAACATTGAAGCTATCATCAAAGCAACAGCGGACGAAACATGTCAGCTGTGAGTGACACAGAACAAAGAGGGTTATCACTTTCGCTCAACAAGCGCTCAACAGCGTTGCAGAAATGTCATAATCGAATTGCAGAACTTTTCGAGAATGGGTGTCGGCAGTTGCCCTCAAAGATGGATATTACAACAGCTTCCGCGACCCGAAAACTTGATACGTCGCGTGAACCCAAAGAAAACCAAAAAATGAGCCTCGTCTAAGAGCCAAACGTGGTTGACTCATTCTTTGCTATGGTTCATCCTGTGCTTACGTTTTGGCCATCAACGCTTTGTCAGCCTCGCTCAGGGCGCTCTGAACGCATGGTTCGTATGCACGAGGGTCGCTATTGATTGGGTTTTACAACGCACTCAGCTGATGATGCTGTATTACGTCGTTTATATCCCACCATGGTAGAAAGGACGGGCACCGCAAGGAATCGAACCCGAACCTCTGGTTCACCATACCCGCTGGAAAGCAGATTAAGCAGCTTTCCAACAGCTAAACAGTTAAAATGCTGCACTTGCGGCATCTCACATGCGTAGAGGCTGACGCCTGACTTCCGAACGCTGTGTTCTGTCATCTTCGACAATTCAAATCTCTGAAAACGTTGACGAGAGGGGAGTTCAGGGTGGCCATCCACTGACACCTTTGCCAAAGTGATGTTGTCCACAGACTTAAGTGACGTCTGGCTGGATTTCGAAAAATCAGGCATATGCATGCGCTTCTGAAACGTCATCACTAAACAAAGAATACATTTCCTTGTCGATGTCTTTTGTCGCTTCTCTCTCTACAGAAGAGGCGCACAACAGTGATTACCGACTTTGTTTCATGGTAATAGTTGATCAACTTGGCTGTCCCCGGTGTAGTAAGGCGCATTGTAACCATAAGCATGAAAATGTGGCGCTGAAAAGATCTCTCCAACTGTGACGTGGAACAATATATTTTGTTGATTGTGATGTACTTTTAAGCGAGGCCTATTTCAAGGTATATCTGCACATTTGGAAAACGACGTTATGTGTATGGCCAATGTGAAATTAAAATCGCTTAAATTTTGAAGTCCTCGTTCATTTCTTCCATGTTTTTATCTTGTTTCTTATGCCGCATTGCTTATTTGTTCTGTTTCTGAGTCCATCCATTTCAAAGATGTACTTCTGCTGAGCTGATACATTGCCTCTGGAATTCGTATCATGGGTAAAGTAAAGTTTCACTACTACAAAACACTGTTGCCATCAGCGACCTTTCACAAGCGTGTGCAGAGGTCAAAAAGTAGATTATGACAAGCACAAGGATGAATGGCCATGCATGACAATACAACTTTTACAGTGCCGTCTTCTCCATGCCATAATGCGTTCTTCTCAAGTAATAACAAAGACGAACGGAAACGTATGCAAAACAAACTACCACGCCTACACTTATGACGGCGTCGTGCGTTTTTGCTTTGAATTGGCGCCCTGTTCCCATTGTTCTGTACCATGGCCTCCCTTTCAGTCCCATGCTCCGTGACGCTCAAGGCATTATTTATGGATGCCAACAATAAGGTCATCAAAGTGTATACCAATATCTCAGCGATGGTGTAACAAACTGCAGCACTTCTGCCACAAGTACCGTCGGACAGCGATGGTGTAACAAACTGCAGCATTTCTGCCACAAGTACCGTTGAACAGCCTTGTGATTTAGACAGAATGTACGTTTATGGAACAGCAGCATACATTTGTCCATAAGTAGGCGACTTGAAACTGGTAAAATTCATCTAATTACAAAGACTTGCCGTGTTGTATTTGGTCCGTACTTTTTTAAGCGCACTTTTCGCTCGCGGAAGAACGGCCAGAGGAATGAGAACAGTGATCTAAAGCCTGCTGCGCCTGGAAATAATCGTCTTACGTGACCTAAGCGAAACAATGGATGGATGACAATCGCAGGTCATGTCAGAGGGATATTATGCATGATCGGTGCTGCTGCTGTCATGCTGTCATGTCGCGTCTCTTGTGACTCTCTTATGTCACAGAACACCATGGAATCAAAATCTTATCACAGACAAGGCAAATACTTTTGGGGATCGAGACCTCTTTCTCATTATTTCCTTAACTGGGCAGCTCCGAGTCATTTCCAGGTCAGCGTGACCGCCTTCCCTTTGAAATGCCCAGCTATCCAAGTGTGCATTTACGTTGCCTGTGGTATGATCACAGGTGTCGGTTTTTATTCTTTTGGATTTGCCACCGCCCCCCCCCCTGCCCCAAAGTCCAATTTGCCGCCCCCCACCCAATGGTGAGTTTTGCCCTCCAACTTCCTAGAGCCTCATCTGTACATGCAAAGCTGTAAAAGTGAAATATTATAATTATGAAAACTATGAAGTTGTCCAATAATTGTTTAACAGGTGAGATGAACAAAGAAAGAGAGAATGCCAAACTTTTAGAGCTCCACGATCGCACCGTATCTAATGGAGCATTTTCTATTTTTGCCGCATTGGGCATGTTTTAATTGCACATTTAGTATGCATTGTCAACTCTGGTTTAACTGTGTTGTATTGCCTGAATGTTTTGGCATCATTCAGTGCTGTTTCAAGTTTCCTTGATTGCAACCAACCGCGTTTACTGTGATATTTTGTCACGAGGTGTTATCGGCGAGTTTAAGTAAACTGGTAGAGTAATAGCTCCCAAAAACGTAACGAATTAACTAGCCACTCCGTTTGAAAGAACCACTGAAATGTACCGACCTCCGCTTCCACGTGAATATTCAATGAAACAGTCACGAAAACCTGGCCATCGACATCACACGACAAAACCGAGAGTGGTAAGCGTCCAACATTGGTCAGCATGACAACACTAGGGTTTTTAAGATGCCTGTCGCGAGCGCTCCGTTACATCCTGAGGCACGCCTTGCGGCTACCTGCCGGGGCTCCCCTGAAAGCCTTTAACAGTCGCGCACGTCACTTTTTCTCGAAGCTATACACGTTCAACGTCTAAAGCGCACAACATCGACCCTAGGTCAATCACCAAATGTCGATCATGAAACCAGATGGTTGTCGACCATCTCCAGGTCGGACTAAATGATAATGATGTCGACGTCAACATATCCCAACGAGATAGAGGCAATGATTTCCAACAGTTTGAGCCACGATACGGAATTACTTGCCTTTGTGAAATTGCCAAAAGGCGCCTTATATGGCAGGCAGCCATCTTTGCCTTACTCGACCAACTTCCAATGTTCACTTAGCGATCTGGCATTGACTGGAAGGCACGGTTGGCGTATTCTTCATTACAATCCTTCTGGCTGGTAAATGGCCCCGTCCTCTTGAATCATGGATTCTGAGTGTCATCTTCGCAATAACCAAACATTGATACATCCTACTCCACTCCAGACAAGGTTTTCACTTTTCTTGCTGCCCTTTGCCCAATCGCTTTCACAGCTTCAATGAGATTCAATCTTCAATCAAGAGATGATGGCTTGCCTTTCAACAGCACGCCACCTGATGCAGGCGACCACGACTCCCAGCTTCCAATGACCAACCGTCTTCATGGTTCGGCCGACGGAGGGCGTGCGACGGATGGCGAACTCTAGTCCTAGATAAACTGATCGCAATACATGATATAACGATGCATGACACGTCGTAAGTAGCCTTGTTGGTTTATATCCAAGCTTGTGAATTGAAGCTAATTTTCCCATTGTCGGTCATAAAGCCAGATTGGAGGCCGGTGGTTGGACGCTCACTGGATATGAACGTTGAAACGAATTATATGCTTTCTTAGAATTCGGAAGTATAATTGTGTTAATAGCAATCAAACCCTCACGTGACATCAATTGGAGCTGAACTGTGACATCACTTCAGCAAACATGTTCTTATCTTCAAACAGCCAGATGAAAAGAAATCCAACAGTTTTGAGCATCCCCGAGCGGATACAAACGGTACCTGTGCGGTACGGTACCTGTACGGTACGGTACCTGTACGGTACGGCACCTGTACGGTACGGTACCTGTACGGTACGGTACCTGTACGGTACGGTACGGTACGGTACCAACGCATTTAATCATCAACTGCTTATTTCACATGCTTGAAGATTTGATCACAAACACCTTGAACCTTAATGCTTTTCGTTACCCTACAACCAAGTGACCTTCAAAGTAGTGTTCCACATTTATATGGGTATTGAACTGAAATAGCCACCTTGAAGATCTGTTGGTCCTGTTCACAGTTCTGCCCTTCTTAAGACCTAAGTCCAGCTAGTTTTTGAGTTACACGCCGGCGAAAATGGGGAAAGGCATAACGGGAAGAGCATTTCAAAGTCACCCTGGCATTATGGCGGCGTACCAACGTCATTCAAATCCCGCCATTTCATAACCCATGCGGCGTTCGAGGTCAGAAACAATAGAATTGTCCAGGCGCCCATATCTGTTGTTCATGAGCGCGATTTCTAGATATAACGGCTGTCAATTGGCCATCAGTCAATGTTGCGCAAGGTACGATAACGTAACCAAACCATGACGCCTTGAGGAGCACATTTACTAAACAGAGAATTGTGCTGTCTAGAGCAGTCTTTTTCCTCTTTAAAAGTTTACCAATTATTATAAGTGAGATTGTTTTATCATATCTGATGCTTGCCTCGATATCTCCAAATGTGAAGCATTCCCTTAACGCAGGTGAGCTGGCCGATGAAAATATCGATAACGTTGGGAAACTCCTTGTGAGAGACGGTTCGCAGGCATCAGTGATATATCCTGCTACCTGAGTGAACCATTCGAACTGCCCCAAATGACGGCCAGTTCAGCCGGTGTGCTCACCTATGACAGTCAGGTTGACCAGCGCGTTACGGGTGCGCGAGTGCTGGAAGTCCACCCGGCACTTGTACAGGCCCTGATCCCGGCGGCCGATGTGGCGCAGCGTCAACACGGCAGGCCGTCGACCCGGCACGAAGTCCACGCGCGTTCCGAACACTGACGAGTTGTACCACCGACGGTCGTCCTCCATGGCGTTGCGCAGGTCGTAGCTGGGGAAAGAAAGACCTTGAAACTGAGCATGGAAGAACACGGAGCTTCGGCCCAACGTCGGGCGCCAGTGAGCCCGTAGTAAAACCTAGGTCGTAAGAACAGCTTTTTATTATTTTTCTGAAGTGATGCATACAGTCTATGTCAAAAGCGTTAGGAAATTACGCTCACTGTGGGATCGGAACTCGTGTATGTTATGGCATTTGGTGTAAAAGCTCCTGCATTTGCAAACTGACCGAGACTCGTATCCCTGACAGATTGTTTAATGCGATTATTGCAATAACGTTTTTGTTAGGGTTTATTACATGCATTATACAATTTAACGAACATTATAGCATACGGCCCTATGTTACCAGGGCCGAATTGAGACAACCATTTTAAAGATCTTCGAATGCAGGTCACAGCCTTGCCATTTTTAAGGCTAGTAACTTCGTGTTTTTTTAGTTTGACCCCCGCGAACTCGTGCAGACCTTTTCGTGCACACTATTTCAAGGTTACCCAAGCAAAGATACCGTCAAAGAACGTCACGCGAGCACTGACACCTCATTGGCCAGTGCTCACGGCCAGACAAATATCATCATCGATTCTTTCGTGACTAGCGTACGTCAGCACGCTTTCTGGCGCCAACAGACGTAAACTGGCTCTCAGCTAATGTCATCCGTGAAGTGCGAGTTTCGAATGCGAATTACATTTTGAACCACATAATACAGGATGTTGGACAATGGCCTGAGTTGCGGCAGGGACCACACTGGGAATCAGACAAATAACGATAGCACCATAACCGAGCAAGTAGATGCAAGTTAACAGTGCAAAGTCACGGGCAAATACGCAATAACACTCCGAGAAGGGCCAAAACACGCGCACAAAACAATGCCTTAGATTTCTAAACAAGGCAACGATTACCACACCTCTCGATCAGTTGAAGTATTACAAGTGAGTCAGCCCCAGCAATATGGAGGCAATTTCGCACGGCCAGTTTGGCAGCCACTCTGACATCATGCAAATGAACATGAATATGAAATGAAAATCAACAACGCAATCAAACGATGATGTACTGGGGAGGCCGACAAAGACATACATTATTACTTCAGTTTCTATTTTGAATTGTACACACACACACACACACACACACACACACACACACACACACACACACACACACACACACACACACACACACACACACACACACACACACACACACACACACACACACACACACACACACACACACACACACACACACACACACACACACACACACACACACACACACACACACACACACACACACACACACACACACACACACACACACACACACACACACACACACACACACACACACACACACACACACACACACACACACACACACACACACACACACACACACACACACACACACACACACACACACACACACACACACACACACACACACACACACACACACACACACACACACACACATTTATATATATATATATATATATATATATATATATATATATATATATATACGATGTGATATATCAGTGGCACGTATGGGTGAGTGCGTGCGTATGATTTTACAATTACGATAAGCACTTAAATGATATGGCTTTTTTAAAGATCACCAGTTTGTAGCGATATAACCAGCGACGAAACTTTTGTTTTTCATCCTTACTGCGGGTGAAGATTAAGCGTTTGTTGGCTTCCCCTCATGTCATTCACCTTGTTTCGTTGTTTACGTCGCCAAGACTAATTTAGCTGTTTTAATGAGCCCAGCTGAATTATGAAGCTAAGGATTGGCTATTTAAGAAAAACGTAGTGACCAGTCGACATGACTTATCTCTGAATGTAACACAGCCTGGTTCTCATCTAATCCATCATGCCAAATATATTCCCATCAAATTCTCTAGCAATACAAGTCGTGTGAAAGCCCACACAACTTTGGCACCAACTCGGCCACAGGTGCCGAGATTATACCTTGCGCTGCCGTCGGAAGTCCGGCCAGCCCAGCCCACCCTCACCGCTTCGCGACCGTCGGCGACCTCGAGCGGCCACCTACCAGCCGGTACCGTTCTACTACCGGGAAAACTCCTGCCCATCGTCGGCCAAAGTTTGGCAGTCACACTTGGTGCCTGTCGCTGAATGCAATCTAAACGAAGGCATTTTTCAGCACGGTGTCAGGCGCGCCTTTCAGCACGGCTGATGGGCACGGCCGGTGCCCATTCAGAGGTGAAGGGTGTGCAGATAGCGATCCAGCGGCCACCGCCGCCACCGGGCGGCACGTATCCCGCCCGACCAGCCCATGGCTTCCGGTGGACGGCCAACACTCGACCGTGATTCAGGAGAGCGGTCACGTCTCGACCGCGATTCAGGAGAGCGGTCACGTCTCGACCGCGATTCAGGAGAGCGGTCACGTCTCGACCGCGATTCAGGAGAGCGGTCACCACTCGACCGTGATTCAGTTGAGCGGTCACGTCTCGACCGTGATTCAGGAGAGCGGTCACGTCTCGACCGCGATCTAGGAGAGCGGTCACCACTCGACCGTGATTCAGGTGAGCGGTCACCTCTCGACCGCGATTCAGGAGAGCGGTCACCACTCGACCGAGACTTAGGTGAACGGTCACCACTCGACCGAGGCTCAGGTGAGCGGTCACCACTCGACCGTGATTCAGGAGAGCGGTCACGTCTCGACCGTGATTCAGGAGAGCGGTCACGTCTCGACCGCGATTCAGGAGAACGGTCACCACTCGACCGAGACTTAGGTGAACGGTCACCACTCGACCGCGGCTCAGGTGAGCGGTCGCCACTCGACCGCGATTCAGGAGAGCGGTCACCACTCGACCGTGATTCAGGTGAGCGGTCACCAATCGACCACGACTCAGGTGAACGGTCACCAATCGACCGAGACTTAGGTGAACGGTCACCTCTCGACCGCGACCTCGGCGAGCGGTCACCTCTCGACCGCGACTCAGGTGAATGGTCACTCGATTACGACTCAGGTGAGCGGCCACCACACGACCACAACTCTGGTGAACGGTCACTGCTCGGTCACCACTCCGGTGAACGGTTGCGCCCGCTAGTCAAACACGAAATGGTCTCAAGTAAAGTCACCCATGTCCACCGGTTACCCTTCAGCGAAGAGTCCATCGTGTTGGCCAATGCCGATGCAGTTTCGGATCAACGGCCAAGCACACCGGCGAGTCACGACTCACCCTCCGGTCAGCGGTCACAGACATGTACGATGACGGCTCACCTTCCGGTCAGCGGTCACCGACGCTGGACGATAACGACCCGCCCTCGGATTAGCGATCACACGCAGCAACCAATTACAGTAAATTGTTTCGCAAACTGACGCGCGCACCAGCGAGCGACACTTTCCGCTGGAGTCACGCACGCCTGCCAATCTTGACATGCCGGGTATTGACAGGGCTCTGACGGGCATTCACACTTACCGGGCGACCACAGTGCGCCCGTGCCTGTGAGCTGTCACACGAACGCTGACCAGCCTGTAAGCTGTCAAACGAACGCTGACCAGCCTGGGAGCTGTCACACGAACGCTGACCAGCCTGCGAGCTGTCACACGAACGCTGACCAGCCTGTAAGCTGTCAAACGAACGCTGACTGATGCGAGCGGACCCGCTGGGCAGACGGCTGAGCGTCTTAAGCCCCACTGTCATGGAGTGAGCGCTGAGGCAGGCTGACCCGCACGGCGGCCCAGAGCGAGAGCGGCGGCGGCTGCCCAGGCATCTGCAGATGTCCTGCCATCTCCATCTCAGAGTTGTTGGAGCCAAAGAGTCCGCCAACTGCTCCGAACACTCACATGACAGCTGCCTCCGTGAAACGACGTCAGGTGGTGCATACCTCCATTTAGATTCCAGCAGCGAAGGGTGGACGAGCTGCCGGAATAGCCAAGTGCTAAACTATTGCCGAAAAGAATGTTCGAATGTTACGGCCTGGTGGGCGAGCTCGCACGGTATGCTATATGGTGACACGAAAGTTTAAAGATCTCCAGTTGAACAGTACTTGTCACCTCGGGTTCGCCAAAATCCTACAGCCTAGGATATCGGTGAGGTAGAATCATCGCCTTGCATTATAATATAAGATGACAGTGACTGATATCCAGTGCACTTCCTAGGAACAATCAACACACCGCTTTGTGTGTGGCAAGCCTCCCGTTTGATCCGCGGTGCTGTCCGTGAATCAAATGATGTTCCAATTCAGCACAATTCAGTGACATGCGTTTGATACGTTTGGCAGCATGTGTGTTTGAGGTCGGTTAATCAATCTGCAGCGGTCTCTTATTCAAAGAGGGTCGAAGTGATAATGGTCGGATATGAGAATTCGACGCTCACATCACCGGTCTTCGCCCTTCCAGCACTTTGTAACTGACAAGCCATCATGTACATGGGTGAAAATAATCCGTCATCATTCACACAACCATGAAGACTAGCAACGGAATTACCACACCTGGGTGCCGCAACATGGCTTAATGCCCTTCTTTTGGCTGAGCCCGTCTGAGGCCTTAATGACTTTATGATGTCACGCTGCGCAAAGCCCCGAGCCCCACCGCCCCGCGCAGAATGTCAGAGCGGCCGACCACGCGCGCGGCCGTCCGTGTCAGAAGGTCACGTGCCGCCGCCAGCAGCAGCTCCGTCTCTTGACATCAGGTCATTGGCCGTGACGGTTCCGCTGCCGGGCCGAGCGGCCGGGTAATCGATAGTCTCGGTGGGACGCTGACCGCCGGTCTCTGGCGTCGGGGACCCGCCGCCGGCCGCCGGGACAGCGCCTGAAGAGTGCCGCGAGCAGCGGATCCCAAGCAACGTCTCTCACGTGTCGCTGGTTAAGAAGTTGTGGATTTTTTCAGGCCGCATTCGCATGCGTGTGATGTTATCTCCTTGTTTAACTTGGGCATGACACCATTGGCGGACATGATACTTATGGTTATTAGAATAGGAAAAGCATGATCGACTGCACGCCAATGACAATATTTTAGACACATGAAACAAGT